AATGTATCAGAAAATTGAATTTTGATTTAGTTAAGCTTTGCTCATTTCTCTGCTTGATTGATCGCAGGGCACAAGAAGGCTTTACTTATAAATGCACTAAAAGATCTTGATAATATTACTTCTGTTTAGAGTTCACTCCGTCAAAATAAACAAAATGTATCAGAAAATTGAATTTTGATTCAGTTTAGCTTTGCTCATTTCTCTGCTTGATTGCTCGTTGGGCACAAGAAGGCTTTACTAATAAATGCACTAAAAGATCTTGATAATGTTACTTCTGTTTAGAGTTCTCTCCGTCAAAATAAACAAAATGTATCAGAAAATTGAATTTTGATTCAGTTTAGCTTTGCTCATTTCTCTGCTTGATTGCTCGTTGGGCACAAGAAGGCTTCACTAATAAATGCACTAGAAGATCTTGATAATGTTACTTCTGTTTAGAGTTCTCTCCGTCAAAATAAACAAAATGTATCACAAAATTGAATTTTGATTCAGGTAAGCTTTGCTTATTTCTCTGCTTGATTGATCGCCAGGCACAAGAAGGCTTTACTAATAAATGCACTAAAAGATCTTGATAATATTACTTCTGTTTAGAGTTCACTCCGTCAAAATAAAAAAATGTATCACAAAATTGAATTTTGATTCAGTTTAGCTTTGCTTATTTCTCTGCTTGATTGATCGCCAGGCACAAGAAGGCTTTACTAATAAATGCACTAAAAGATCTTGATAATATTACTTCTGTTTAGAGTTCACTCCGTCAAAATAAAAAAAATGTATCACAAAATTGAATTTTGATTCAGTTTAGCTTTGCTTATTTCTCTGCTTGATTGATCGCCAGGCACAAGAAGGCTTTACTTATAAATGCACTAAAAGATCTTGATAATATTACTTCTGTTTAGAGTTCACTCCGTCAAAATAAAAAAATGTATCACAAAATTGAATTTTGATTCAGTTTAGCTTTGCTTATTTCTCTGCTTGATTGATCGCCAGGCACAAGAAGGCTTTACTTATAAATGCACTAAAAGATCTTGATAATATTACTTCTGTTTAGAGTTCACTCCGTCAAAATAAAAAAAATCTATCAATTGAATTTTGATTCAGTTTAGCTTTGCTCATTTCTCTGCTTGATTGCTCGTTGGGCACAAGAGGGCTTTACTAATAAATGCACTAAAAGATCTTGATAATGTTACTTCTGTTTAGAGTTCTCTCCGTCAAAATAAACAAAATGTATCAGAAAATTGAATTTTGATTCAGTTAAGCTTTGCTTATTTCTCTGCTTGATTGATCGCCAGGCACAAGAAGGCTTTACTAATAAATGCACTAAAAGATCTTGATAATATTACTTCTGTTTAGAGTTCACTCCGTCAAAATGAAAAAAATGTATAGCAAAATTGAATTTTGATTCAGGTAACCTTTGCTCAATCCTTTGCTTGATTTCTCGTTGGGCACAAGAAGGCTTTACTAATAAATGCACTAAAAGATCTTGATAATGCTACTTCTGTTTAGAGTTCACTCCATCAAAATAAAAAAAATGTATCACAAAATTGAATATTGATTCAGGTAACCTTTGCTCAATCCTTTGCTTGATTTCTCGTTGGGCACAAGAAGGCTTTACTAATAAATGCACTAAAAGATCTTGATAATGCTACTTCTGTTTAGAGTTCACTCCGTCAAAAAAAATGTATCAGAAAATTGAATTTTGATTTAGTTAAGCTTTGCTCATTTCTCTGCTTGATTGATCGCAGGGCACAAGAAGGCTTTACTAATAATTGCACTAAAAGATCTTGATAATGCTACTTCTGTTTAGAGTTCACTCCGTCAAAAAAAATGTATCAGAAAATTGAATTTTGATTTAGTTAAGCTTTGCTCATTTCTCTGCTTGATTGATCGCAGGGCACAAGAAGGCTTTACTAATAATTGCACTAAAAGATCTTGATAATGCTACTTCTGTTTAGAGTTCACTCCGTCAAAAAAAATGTATCAGAAAATTGAATTTTGATTTAGTTAAGCTTTGCTCATTTCTCTGCTTGATTGATCGCAGGGCACAAGAAGGCTTTACTAATAAAATTGGGTTTGTCACTTTACTCGTAGCGGTGTGTATATTTGACTGAGCCCAAGATGTTTATTTTAGGGGGAGCCTAGAGATAAACTAACCCATGGTTGATAGGAATTCTACAAAATTACTTTACCCTTCTTTTGTTTAACGAGACCTCCTTATTACTAACTTAGGTTATCAATCCTTATAGCAGAATTCCACTTTTGATACAATTGAAAATATATCATGCTTATTAATATAGTTTTGGAAAACACCCCTATGTCAATTTCAGGACTTCAAGCTTCTTCTTCAAGCATCTATTTTGTTTTTAATTTTAGCTTTAGAATTTCGAAGCCTAACAGTATCCCCTCTCTACTTTCCTAGGAAAGACCAACATCTGTCCATTTAAATTTAATGCTTACTGGCATTAATTGTTGAATTGAAAAGTTAATGTTACTGAAACGTAATGAAAACTGAAACAGAAATCGGAGGAATATATTTCAAAGAAAAAACTTCTTACCTGATCTGTCGACGATAAATTAATTTGGACTCTGAAGACTGCTAATCATGGAAGCCGTGAAGCTTATTTATAACAAAGTTGATCAATGCAATATAACGTAATTCTATAGGGCTCCTGTTACCATGAAACAGGTAATCATCAACTCATTAGCGGGCACCTGACCAGTCAGAATTCATGGTTGACATCAGTGTCTAGCAATTTTTAGATCAAAAATACTGAGTTAGGAAATACGTAATTGAAGTGGATCAAAATATTCCAATCAGAAATGCGGGTTAATAACATGAATGTCAATCAGCGCTGCGAGCCTGTGTTACCATCTGATAAACCCCTACTTTTGAAAAAGAATTATCCCTTTAACCCTTTGGAGCTGAAGAGGTCCTTATTTGGTCTCCTCAGTATTGATTATTATAGATAACATCATACTCAACTGTGCAAGAAATAATTTATTAAGGACTGGCTTAAAATAGCTCTATATTTTGCTGTCTTTTGACTGGTTTCTTTCTTTATCGTCACAGTAACAGACTGAGCATTTTCACTAGGAAAAATGGCAATCAAGTCATTGATCTCTTTTTCTACAAATACAAACAAATTTAGTCTTAAAATTGCCGCATTTTCTCTTTGATAAATGCTTTAATGTAACTCTATGAAATTTTTCAGAAACTATCAATGCAATTTTGCAAGGCGTATTTAAAATCAGTTATAGAATTTGAAACATTTTAAGACGACTTCTTACGGAGTGAGAAGTGCAAATGTTAATATGTTTAAAAAGAGCATTTAGGAGAGAATAGGCCACGGCTTCCTTATTCCTCATCATATCATATAGCTATTGCAAAAAAAGTTTTCTCTAGCAATCAAGGTAGATGAATATTTTTCATGTTCTGTTCTTGTATTTGCATGCTCAAGCAGGCATATTGTATTGTTACTGCAAAAATTACCATGTTTACTACTTTACGAATCCATCTATTCCCTGCTTTCTTCTTACACAAATTATCTCTTTTAATTGGCTTAAACTATTTTAACTTCAAGAAACGGGAAAATGCGAGATTTTGCATCACCGTTATGTCTGAAAATCACAGGAATGTCTATCATCCAATGTGCCGGGTTTAGCATACTAAATCATTGTATTTTCGATACAAGATTTGTTAGAACGTGAACCCTCAGCCTTCTTTCTTTGCAAAATATCTTCTCACTTCGGCTGTGAATAAGATCATTCAACATTGTTTGTGTTATAAAAAAGGCCATTAGGCAAACACTTAATTAGTGTAATTTGAAACGGGTTTGTGCAGACAGCCAATGGCTGGTCGACCAGCAAAAATTTGGCAAATATTTGTCTAGAAAGAGAAACATGCATATGTGTCAATATGCAAAACAGTTAGAAAATAGCTAAAAAATGTGTCTCGCTATGAAAGTATTTTGTTCCATTTTAGCAAAAAAAACATAATGAACTTTGCATCATTTCTTTTGTATTATTATGCCCTTATTCTTTACAAATTTTTCCAATAAACGTCACAAAAGAATAGTGATTGACGGCGTAACTTGTAGAGTAGCGGCTGTGAAAGAAGCTTGTTATTTACTGTATTTTGTTAACAAGAGAATTATATATATTTCACTTTATGTTAGGTACTTCTACTGGACAAATTCCGATTCTCCCACCAACCAAAAATTTCATTGCCGAACTCTTGAAAACTTGGGAGTTTAACTGTGTTTACGATCGGCTCAAATTTGTAAGGACCTCTTGAAATTACGTTTTTGAGAATTGACACTGAAGGAAAAGTTAATGCCATAAATTTTTTGAATCACTTGTACAAGTTGTTGCTTTTCCCCTTTTGAGGTATTGTTTTTCGTAGATGTAGCCAATACAGCTTCATAAAGCTGTTGATTCTCCCATCGGTTAACACCTTTTGGACAAATCAGATTGAGCAAAACTCTATAATGACGACATGCTCCAAATAATTGGCAAAGCCCGGTCGTCTTTCCGCCTAGCAATTTTGGAATCGATCTAGATAAGAACGAAAAAGCCGCCATTGTATGGACAGAAGCAGTTCGTTTTCTCTCTTGGGCTGCAGTTGCAATTTTTCTATAGGCACACAGCAGTGATTAGACGACTATGCCGGTCATGTGTTTGCGTTTTTCTGATTGGCCTATTTCGATCCACAACTGGGTATTTATTTTCCATCGTGTTTTTTGGATCCTTATTCCGACGTTTTATGCTCTGAGTAGTATCAGACGAAAAGGTTTTAAGCAAATATGTTAGAAAATGTTTGCTTCTTCGACGTCATTTTCAAGTTCAGAATTCCAAGAACAATTTTTTTCCGCTGACATAATATCATTAATAGTTATACTTTCTCTTTAAGTAAAAACTTTCAAATAACGCTAGGCTAGTCAAGATGATGGTAGTTTCTCCTAGTTAGAAGGGAAATGTTATACTCTTGGCGTGTTCCTTGCTTTAAACTTCGAAAATTACATCATCAGCCAAACAAAAATATTATGCTACGAGCCGCCACTGCGGTATTCTCATTGCCAAAATAAGTGGGTTTACTACATTAAGTATTTCTCTTTTTCCAGCATTTTTCTTATACGATATCGGGCAAAATGAAACGTAGAGGAAAGTCGTTCATGTACAGGACCTGTCTTTCCATACTAATGCATTTTATTGTCGCTTCAAATTGCCGACACAAGTTCGAGAACACCTCTATTGCCAGCCTTCTTTTATTGCAAAAGTATCTCCTCAATTCGGATGGTAAATGGATCATTCAACATTTATAGTATTGTTGCAATAGGAAACAAGGCAAGCAGTTAATTATTGTAATGAGTAACGGGCTGATGCAATGAATCACTCTGCAGCAGGTAGCGTCAACCAGCAAAAATTTGGCAAATATTTGTACCCAAAATAGAACAATGCATTTTTGCCAAAAAAGCAAATAACTTTACAAAATGGCAAAAAGGTAGAAATACTTCTCTCCATGCAAAGGCTTTGTTCTATTTTAGTAATGTCATATTCTTTAAATATTTGTTCCTTGTTTCTCGAACACCCAAATGTGTTAATGTAAATGATTTTTTTTATTCATTACTTACAAATCTGTTACAAAAGGTTTTGATTTCATTAATGAATTTCACTTTTTGTTAAGGAATCTTTCGCCAATTTTGAGTTGGCAGTAATAGCATTATAGAATAATGCGCATAGAATGTTTCATAGCTACATTTTTATGACTATGTACAATCTTGCCAAAATTACTTGAAACACCCAACACTTTGCGCTGTGCTTTTCTATTTTTCATTTGTTTTCCTGAATACAACTACTTCCGTCCCCCTTTCTCCCTAAAACAATGTTGAAAGTATAGAAAAATATCATACAAAGGCACACGAAAAAGCGTACTCCATAATACCTTACTTTTTTTGATAGTAAATCAACATTGTTCCTAAGGGGAAAGGGGGTGGCTATATTTGCCTTTTAAAGCTGACGTTAGTGCTCAAGACTTTTGGCAGTGATTGTCTGAAAGTAATTCCAAAAGCCGATATTTATGTCAGCAAAAGTTGATCTTGCCATAGGGTTTTCGATGGTGCTGGATCATTTTTGCTAACAAAAATTTTTGCTAACACGAAATTTTTACTTGCAATGTAGTTTTCGGGGGGGGGATGTAGGGCTGGGAGAGGCCGGAATAGGGCTTCTACGGTTGATTCTGTAGCTATCTCTAATAGGAGTGATATCGTTTCAATTATTTTGTAAATATCATTGCAATTTCATTATACAACAAACCTCAGCGCACAATGATTCGGTAGACTAAAATTACTCTGTGATGAAGCAAAAATAGTTCATTGCAGAACTTTTGAAGAAACGTGTTTTACTGACAATTTCTCTTCTTTCCGGCTCTATTTGTCGATCAAAGAGGAGAAAATATGTAGGTTTGCCTATGAAATATATTTAATTTAGATGATGTTTCATAACATGCTTGTAGGAGACTTCAAATGGCTCGGCTTAATCTATCATAACCCTTCCAAAACCTTGCAAAACCTTTCATGACTTGAATTGAAGGCACGCTCCTTCGCATTTACACACGGCAACATGGTAGTGCTCAAAGGAACCCCCATCCTACCCTCTTTTTTTGTTCTTTCTTTGTCTCATTAATGTATAATAATTTGTGTCAATTATGTTTCTGTGTCCGTCATTATCAACGTATGCAAGGAATTAGGAGAGCGTTCCTTCCTTAATTTGAATGTAGTGTAGTATGAAAATGTCTACTGCCCACGGTTAACAGCTTTTTGAAATGCTGATAAAAGTCGTACTGTTGAATAAGAATAGACAATAGTTCGCCAGTATGTGTGCAAGGAGTTTTTACAGGATATTGTACCCTTTCAGATTCATTCCAGTTACAAAACTCTAGAAATTCAGGGAAATGTCCACGGTTAACACTTTTCTGAAGAATGAATTTTATGTACTCAAGATCTTCTTTCGTTTCAAGTGTTAACCGTGTTATTTTCTAAAATATTGCCGTTTTCATCACGGGATTCATGCGAAAGTTAATCTTACCTGTAAGTTAAATTATGACACACCTCTCAGGTAAATTTGGGGGCAAAAAAAATCTTTACCACGGTCTACAGTTTCTCAGATCTGTTAACGACAGTGGACTTGCGGGGCCTTGCCTCCGGCAAGGATGCACTTTGTTTTGGGTGATGATATGTGTTTTGGTATGCTTAATGGGAAGCAAACAAAAGAAAAAAGTCATGATTGTTGAAATAATCTGTCCAGCGCTCAGCCTAAAAACCTCCCTCCCCCTTCCTTTTTCCAATAAAAAGAAAATTTTCAGGTTAATAAAACGTATAGGTGGAGAACTAAAGAAGTCTCATTCGTCTTTCATATATCTTTTTAACTACAATTAGTAAGTACACCCTGGCTCTCTACCAATCAATAAAGGGGTTCCACTTTCATGAACAGTTTCTGGAATATCACCTCCTTGATATTAAAGTTGACGTCATCGATAGAATACCATTCGAGCCTCATTTGTCGAAGAAGTGAGAGGCTTTCAGCGATGTAGCTTGTCTTTGTCTTAAAGATAAACGAAAATAAGGAAGAGAACAAGATATCTTTTTACGAATTTAAGATGACATGTCACTTTTTTGGTCGCATTGTAAAAATTGTGATACTTGCATGAAACAGTGCAGAAGGGACAGTTTGATAAGTTAAAAAAGATGGGATATGGACCCTAACTACAAATTGCCCCCTTCGGCTATTCGTAGACATGGCCTAATATCGCTTTGGCGGCATTATTCTAGATATTAGGATATATCTGCTGTGAGTAAGTACAATAACATGAAATTTTGTATCAAGTGGCAATCTGATACCCTTGAAATGATAGGATATAAACCTGAGCTGAAATTGGTCCCCTTGTTCTTTTTTAGACTGGGGTATTTGCCCGAGACCTTTATTGATAGAATGACAGTATTTACAGTATTGTAATTAAGGACAGTTTGATACGCTGGAAAAGATAGGATATGAACCTCAACTGAAAATTGCCCCCATGAGCTATTGTTAGACTGGGGTACTTTACTCCAAAACACCTCTAACGATGTTGTTTCGATATCTTTGTTGTAAGTGGGTACAATAGCATTAATTTTGCACCACGTGGAAATTTGATACACTGAGAAAGATAGAATATTGACCCCAACTGAGTAGTGTCCCCTTCTTCTATTTTTAGAGAGGGATACTTTTCCACAGACCTTTACAAACAGTACTATTACAAACCGCAGAATGAAAATCTGCAACAAAAGTTAGGATATGACCCTCTCTTTTTCACGCAGAAAAGATACGGTATGGACTTCTCTTTTTCACAAAAACCTTCGACCCAACCTACAAGTAAGCAGTAAAAATCAGATCTGTTTCTATTTCTTGGCGAAAGACTTTCGATGTATTATGTGACTGGAAAATCTATATTGGCCACAACGGGGAAAACAGTTGCAGCTAGTTTTTAACCGATGAAGAAAGTGCAAAAACACGAAGAAGCAAATACACGCATTACATGCTTCTCCACGTAAAAATGCAGCAGATGCATGCAGACATTGCGACATCACGGCTCGATCTGTAGATACCCATTTGGTAGCACTTGCTATATCATTGTTTCAGAGGTTGAATGCTTGAAAGTTGTGGATAGAGCTGGGAGCAAGAAACAATAAACTGTAGATTGCTGTTCATGAAATGCGTCAAAGCGACGTGATTATTTAAATGTAACAGCCAAGCTGCATTTGCATGCCTTTCAGCTTGCAACTAATAGGGTATGATTTGTTTTCCCTGCAATCTGTTGGTTTCTTACGCTCTGCTCTGTAGAATGATACGGAGACAGACACTAGTAACATGGCAGAATTTACTCGGTATAAATGATCTCGACCGCGTTCAGGATAACAGAGCTGGCATCCAACGTGGATGACCTTGCCTGAACCATTGTTAGTTAATCACAACTGTAAGAAAAATTACAGGAGAGGGTTCACATGCAAACAGTTGCACTGCAGTGCTCTGCAGTGTACTGAAAATTACCAATGCTCTTGCCAGTGTTTTTCTGTCTACTTTTGCTATGGTGATTTATGTGTGCTATAAGGAAAAATTTTCTTTCTGTTTACTTTGTAACATTACAAGATAAGTCTGACCATTTTCCTTCAATTGCAGGTAGAGATTTACGTCAGAGACTCGAAACGGCGTACAACCAATTCTCAGCATGTCTTTATGATATCTTTTTCGGCTAATAAGCTGGTACTACAGTATGTAAATTTTCACAAAAGGACAGTTTGATATGCTGGAACGAAGGGATATAGACCCTGACTGAAAATTGCCCCCTTCGGCTATTTTTAGAAGAGAGTACGTTACCACATGACTCCACGAAGGACGTCATTTCGATATCACTGCTGTAAAGGAGGTACCACAGTATGAAACTTGGAGACAAGATGCAGCTTATTAGCCGAAAAAGATATCATAAAGACCTGCTAAAAATTGGTTGTACGCTATTTAGAGACTCTGACGTAAATATCTCTCTGCAATTGCAGTGCAGATGAGGTTCTGGGGGACCATCTCTACTATTAGCCCCTTAGTTTTATCTATGACCATGACAACAAACCAAAACTCTGATTTTGGGATAGTTGGAAGTTCATGGTAGCCAACCTTCTGATAAAAGATTGCACCTGATGATGATGAGTACCAAAGTACGACAGAGAAATGATAAATTCGTCTGAAAGGTCTCGGAGCAAAATAACCAGTCTAGAAATAGAAAAAGAGGGCAATTTTCAGTTATGCTCTGTATCCTGTCTTTTGTACTGTAATAAGCTTTCCCTTTTTGCAAAGTTTCTTGTTATTGTACTTACTTACAAAAGAGATATCGTAATATGCCAGTCTAAAAATACCCCAAAGGGGTTATTTTCATTTGGCATCCATACCCTTACTTTTGCAGCGTATCAATTTGCATGTTTTGCAGCGTATCAATTGGCACAATTTGCACAAGTATTTGACTAACAACACTAAATTTATAGAGATATTGAAGTTTATGCTGCAAATCCTAAAATTAGACTGTCATAACATATTTGAGGTTTTTGTTACTGGGAAAAGTACAGGAAGGTGTGCGTAGCATGCCTGCAATGTACTTTAGCTACATCACGTTTGAAGGAAGTGATTTTTAGCAAATGAATGAAAAGAGAAACTTGTAAAAATATCTTATACTGAAAATTGACAGAAAAAATTCCACACCCCAAAAATTTGAAATAGAGTTTTATTTACTAACTTGGTTAATTGCCATTCACACATAAATAATCTCAACCGTGCTCAAAGGAACTCCAGATAAAAATTTCCAAAGGTAAGCCCCATGCTATTGTCAATTATCGCTTTACTTTAGCCATTCTCTAGTATAAAGCTTTAGAACGAAAGGTCATGCTTCTTTTACTCTGCCAAAATCGTTTTTATCAATCTTCGACAAGTTTTTGTAATTATTTCATGCATGAACTTGAGGCCTCAGTCAAACACACCCAATTGTTCATGGATAAAGGATTCTCGAATCTTAATGGATGGATCTCATAAACAATAGTCTTAGCTTTAATCTGACGCATTTCCACATGCATATATGTATATTTACTGCAATCACCGAAATTATACTATGCAAATCAGAGAAGATCTAAGTGCAAATTTCATGTTTTATTTGCCGCGTTTGAACAGGTTTAAAAGAATTATTTCATTCCCAATCATAAATATTTAATGCGACGTCCAGTGTAGGTGTCGTTCTCAAATGGCTTTAAGCGTAGGAGACATGCCTGAGATACGATTTGCGTTTTTGTTTTAAGACAGTAACATATGAAGAATCACTAGGCCTTAATTCACTATTTACCTTTGGGATCACTTGCCTGAAATTGAAAGCCAATCTAGACATTGCAGTTTCAGGTATGTCGGTTTGGTTTTTTCGTAAACAATATCAATAAAGGAAATAATTTCAGAACACACCTTCATTCTATTAAAGTGGTCTCTAGTCTCATCAATGTGAGAAAAGGAATAAAATTTGATATTGTGAATAAATGACTTAAGTCTGTGCCTTATTCTGGAGTGAATATCAACTTTTTTTAAAATGACTTTAGTTAAAATCAATTTTTATCTAAATGTGCAATCGACATCTATTTACGAAAACGCATTATGTTATTTTCGTTTTGAAACCACGACTGTACTTTCCTCTTATATATTTACATTCCCAAAAACATAATTGTTTGTTTATTTTCTCTTGTCCAGTCAACTAAGACCCGATTCATGATGTCCAGTCTTCGCAACACGTAAAAGTAAACTTGTTTTGAAAAGCAATTACACTTAACTAGCAGAAATGTTTTTGGAAGCGCATATTTAAGTCAAAAACTAGTGATAATGAAAAGTTGAATACAAATTCAGTGGATGCAAATTTAAAGAAAATGAATACCTGCAAAGCCAACAAAAGCAATCCAAAAAGTCAGGACAGGAAAACAGTATGTAGAAACTTTTGTTTCAAAGAGCAAAAATTTATAACAATTTGTCATATCCAACTTTTATTCTGCTAAATTTTTAAATTACTCTCTTTCGCAGGTCTATGAAACAACAATAATTTAATTTAATCAACAAATGAACATGAAATCCATTTTCATTCTCACTATTATTATTAAAAATTCTCTTGTCTTTGAGCACAATTCATTCTACAAACAGACAATGAACAGGTTTATTCTATAAACAAAGGATATTGATGCTCAAGACACTTATTGGGTTTAGAATTTAGGTAAAAAATAATTTCTTGGTTGTTCCATTATTCAAATACTCTATAGGGCTCATAAGATGAATCTCAAATTCTAGTTAATAATTTAACAAAGAAAATTTCATTTACAGATTATGTCAAAAACAAAAAGGATCTTGAAATAACCTGCCTAATAGGTTACGGAAAAATATGTATATTGGTTAATGTTTATCCTTGAAAATACTTTTTGGCTAAAGTTTTAAGAGCTTTATCCGAGCAAATCTAGTAACACCTTCATTCCTCTCTGGGTGCAAAATGGAAACTTTATCGCAAGGTTTCATTTCGCGGTGCCTATCTGACAATTTTCATTTTCAACATGAACAAAATTATAATATAACTGATAAAAGTTGATGTCTCTTAGTTTAATAGGAAGGCAGAAAAAGTGAATCGTAATCAGGCCTTCATTTTTATAAACTGAAGAAACTTTGAGATTTGAATGAGTCGATCTTTGCAGTTCCAGCTTAGCATGAAACTTTGATTTAAAAAATACATAATAAATGCATGCACATCTATGTACGTTTCGCACGGTAATATATCAAAACCATATAATTATATTTATATATCCCCAACGTTGCTATCAGCATAATGATTCATACTTAAAATGAAAAAGAGATCCTAAAAGGTAACATGCTTCTCTTTCAGCAAAAACTGACGATGAAGATATTCATGAAAATTGACGGAGCATCAATTTGCACCAACGACTTACTTGTCAGTTTGCAACTTTCAATGGAAAAAAATCTACCCGAGTAAATAAAGCGAACTATGTCAGATCACCAAAAGTCGATGAGCAATCGACTGACAATTGTTGTCAGCGGAGAAGTATTTGAGACGAGCAAATACCATGTTGCGAAATATCCAGAAACACTTCTTGGCAATCCACTGCGAAGGTGCAAATACCTTGACCCAAAAAGAGAGATTTATTTCTTTGACCGGCATCGAGTTGCGTTTGAAGGCATTTTGTTTTACTACCAAAGCAATGGAAAAATCCTATGTCCCGAGAACGTTCCTTACGAAGTCTTCAAAGAAGAGCTAAGATTCTTTGACATTAGAGAGAAGTCAGTTCCAGAAAAGGCAAGAGAATTCATTTTAGAGCCATTTAAAGTGACAGCTAATGCGTCTGGTGACTTGAAATCGAGAGTCTGGGTTGCTTTACAAGATCCAAACAGCTCAAGCCATGCCAAAGTAATCTCAATATGGTCACTGTTTGTTACATTAGTTTCAATTCTTCTGGCAATAATTACCAAAAGTGACAATTATGGAACGGAGAGTCCTCTTTTTCCATACGAGCTTCTTTGCTTCTCATGGTTTACAGTTGAATGCGGACTACGACTATGGTCCTCCCCGGACAAGCGGCACTACTTTGGTAATTTTGTTGACATTATTGACATCTTCAGTGTACTAACCTACTACATAGCCCTGCTCATTGTCAACTTCAATGCACGCTCGATGGCACTTCTGCGTGTTTTCCGCGTTGCTAACGTCTTTCGCATTCTAAAATTAGCAAGATACTTCTATGGCCTACGTCTGTTGATGTATACTGTTTATACAAGTAGGCTCGATCTACAGATTCTCGGTGCGTGCTTGCTGTTCTTTATCATGATCACCTCTAGTGCCATGTTCTATGCCGAAATCTCTGAGCCAAAGTCGAAAATTGACAGCATTCTTAATGCAGTCTGGTGGGCCATAGTCACATGCACGACAGTTGGATATGGTGACACCGTCCCGCTCACAGCTTTAGGCAAGACTATAGGTGCATGTACTGCCATTTTTGGTGCACTTATGGTTCTGTTGCCGGTGTTAAAGCTTGTTCAGTCGTTTGGTGATGCCTTGATGGCTGCTAAACCATACCTTAAGACCGCAGAACGAGAACAAATGCGTAAGATATCTGGTGTATGATTGCTTTCTCGTTAAGCTGCTTGTCTTTCAAATTTAGTCTAATTTTTATAGCAAGCTATCGATTCTGTTTTTGAAGTTTGAAGTAAATAAGAGCTGTTATTTTGAAAACCGGGTGTTCATATAATTATATAAGAACTTTTTCTGCTTTTCCCACACTGATATGTTAGTGAAATGAAGAGCAAATGAAATTTCTCAACTTGAAGTACTATACAGGGGCGGATCCAGAGGGGTGCGAAGGGGGCTCGAGCACCCCTCAGATTTGAGAAAAAACTTTTTGGGGATTAAAGCTTATTCTACCGCAATTTTGTTTATTATTATTTAAACCATTTAAATAATACCGGGAAGTATGCACATCTCCTGAAATTGTTATTTCCGCTTCAATGCCCCGTCTCACAACTGTTCAACATTGTTATTTCAGGGGGAGTTGAATTATGATACAGCACGCGACGAATGCTTAGGCGCAAATTTGCAATATGTTTTCGTGGATCTTTTGACGATCTTTACCTGATGCTCGACTCGATGCTGTAACGGCAGAACTTGTACACGCTTTGGTCTTATTCATAGACCATGAGGTATGATTTATATTCAGAGGATAAAGCTTGCCCGAGCCCTTGTTATTTTTTTTAATCATTCAAGAACTACGTAAAAAACATCATGGTACACTTTTGCATCTCAAATAGCAGACGTTTTAGTTTTATCGGAATACTTTTATACTTTCACGACATACTTATTTATTTCATGCTACGGTTAGGCATCTCTCAAAAAGGCATTTTCATTTCAACGGAATACTTTTACATTTCCATTAGTCCGATCCGAAGGCACAACAATTGTGCTAAATAAGATACAAGCATGAACAATTCACAACTCATGTAGTTTAATCTGCAGAATACGATGCAAAACAGTCCCAAGCTGAATACTTCCACTAAAAGCTCTTTTTAGAACATTAAAACTGGTCCCAGTCCTAAAAAGAAGAAAGTGACTTACGAGCGAAATAGCAAATTGATGTCTGCAAAATTTTTTATTTATTCGAGTGATGTATCGAGAGTATTTCTGCAAAGTTTGGTAATCATATACAATCTGAAGTTTGAAATGTCATGCTAAGCAATTAAGGATCAGAAATAGCCCCAACTATCATATTTAATTTATCAACTTTGTTCCAGTTTACAAAACGGAATTGTCACTTTCGAGTGATGTATCGAGAGTATTTCTGCAAAGTTTGGTAATCATATACAATCTGAAGTTTGAAATGTCATGCTAAGCAAGTAAGAATCAGAAATAGCCCCAACTATCATATTTAATTTATCAACTTTGTTCCAGTTTACAAAACGGAATTGTCACTTTCGAGTGATGTATCGAGAGTATTTCTGCAAAGTTTGGTAATCATATACAATCTGAAGTTTGAAATGTCATGCTAAGCAATTAAGGATCAGAAATAGCCCCAACTATCATATTTAATTTATCAACTTTGTTCCAGTTTACAAAACGGAATTGTCACTTTCGAGTAATGTATCGAGAGTATTTCTGCAAAGTTTGGTAATCATATACAATCTGAAGTTTGAAATGTCATGCTAAGCAATTAAGGATCAGAAAAAGCCCCAACTATCATATTTAATTTATCAACTTTGTTCCAGTTTACAAAACGGAATTGTCACTTTCGAGTGATGTATCGAGAGTATTTCTGCAAATTTTGGTAATCATATACAATCTGAAGTTTGAAATGTCATGCTAAGCAATTAAGGATCAGAAATAGCCCCAACTATCATATTTAATTTATCAACTTTGTTCCAGTTTACAAAACGGAATTGTCACTTTCGAGTGATGTATCGAGAGTATTTCTGCAAAGTTTGGTAATCATATACAATCTGAAGTTTGAAATGTCATGCTAAGCAATTAAGGATCAGAAATAGCCCCAACTATCATATTTAATTTATCAACTTTGTTCCAGTTTACAAAACGGAATTGTCACTTTCGAAGGATGTATCGAGAGTATGAAAACCTTTTTTCTGAAAAATGCGGAATTATCGATGGGTACAGAAAAAAATTGCAGAATAAATGGCACCATTTTGGGAAAATATTACCAAATTGTCATGGAGATTGAGCCTTAACAAAATAAATGTCCAATTAGAAATACAAGTTTGAAATATGTTTTATATTGAGATTTTAAGCATAAGACATCCAAAATTAGGTTGATGACTTTTATGTGATTTAAAACGTCATTTGCTCTGCAGAATTATGGGTATGGTTGTCATCATGTTTGTGGAATTATGGGTCACATTTTTTCAGACATTAACGGAATTATGGGTCCAGATTTTTAACCAAAATGGCACATCTCCGTCCAAAGTTAGGCATAATTTACCCCCCGAGATTTAACATCGACTGGTGAGGATACTGCACGACTATTTATCAACTACCCAGATGGCAAAAGGTCTTGATTAGGAGACAATGAAAACTAAATAGGATGAAATAGCCAATCGCTTTCCTTCAAGATACAATGTGATAAAATTTATCCAGATAAAACCGTTTACACTGTACCACATAGCTATCCAAACTAATTTTATCCACTTTCCTAAATGAACTGATTTTGTTCAAAAGTGTAAACACGACGCCTAACTGAACTTTACACCCTCTTTTTATAAAAACAATTCTATAAAAACACGAGCTTCAAAATTTGTCAAAAGTCGAGAACAAACTATGAACAAGCTGAGGCTGATTTACTGTAAAATGTACCTTTGGACAATGTTTCATCTCAAAAACGAGGAGTTTTTTGCTATCTTTGGATGCTTTTTCGGTGAATACTGAAACATGACGGCAAATAAAGGTTTTCTCTCGCACTTTGTTGGTAAATGAGGCCAAGACACCTCCCTAAAGCGAAAAGCTAGCAATGGCACTGCTTATACCCTATAAATTTAAGAACAAATTAAGAACTATTCAGCCTCAGATTTTCGAAAGAAATTAAGAACAACCAGCCTGAACTTCAATTTACTGGCTCTTATAAAGAAGAGTGTAATGGTAAATTTTATGTTATTAAATGCACCGCAATGGGGAAACCCTTTGACCCAAATTATGCCAACATATTGATGACAACAATAGAACAACATAATTTGAGCAATGCCCCGATTGTAGTCGGTTGTAGTCGAATATTTTGGAAAATACTTATCGATGACGTAATCTTCAACTGGCAAACACAAGCTTGAAAACCTATAGGAATTTATACTATATCAACCACAAAAAATAGACATAAAAACAGGATATAATCGACTCCTTCTTAAAGTCACAACTCTGGTTACAGTCAAAACAAATTTAGACCCAAATATGCAAAACTATTCCACTAAAATTAGACCTAAATATGCAAAACTATTCCATCAAATTTTGACCCAAATAGTCCCGTTTACAGTGTCTTAGTTTTCTGGCAAGCGATGCTTGTCTTTTAAGTGTGGTTTTATAATAAGACACAAATATCAACCAAGGGTGTGACCATAGAAATGGGTGTAACTCTTAAGGTGAAAGGAAATCAGAATCAATTTAGAAATCTATTCCACCCAGCCCAAGATCACGCTGGCAATTTCTACTTCGTGTCACTGGTGGTCTGCATCATTTTACTTTTGAAGTAGACAAATTACCAATTACAGACTTTCTTTTTACAGTTACATAAGAAAACAACAAAATAAATCCGTTGGTAGAAAACATTTGCCCTGCAAAAATTAGTTTTGCCCTGCGAAAAGGTCCTACTTTCGTAGTTGGAGGGGTTGAGCCACCACCCATAACCCCTCAAGAAACGCCCCTGGGTTCCAGTTACCTCCATGGAATGAGTAGCGTTTCAGTTAACTATTTGAAGCGGTAAGTAAGTTAGCGTGACTATATATGGTAATGGCGGAAGTGTACAGCAAAGCTTCGAAAAAATTTCCCTCGCTCTATCAATTCAAATGAAAATTAAAAGCTCATTTGAAAGCCCGAATTAAAACACGACTCCCAGGAAGTTCAGATCAAATTCAATTCACATATATTATTAAATAATTTTTAAAATTTTGATCAGTCTGTTTATAAGCGTATCATAACTTATTTTTAGGTTTCTGATAAGATTTCGTGTTGAAATAAGAATTTAGTAATATATGAATAAAAAAAGTTCAAAATGCGTATACATTCTTAAGCTCAAGATGGCTGTTAAATTTACTGGAAATCCAAAAAGTATGTTATTTATAATGCAAAGATTGCTTAGATTTCTTGCGGTAGATGATAATAGTAAGCCGAAATAGAAAGTTGATACCGTGATTTTAGGCCCTTCAGCTTGATTCGTGAAATCGTGGCAAAAACTGATGGCTTATTCAACTTGTCTTGTTATGGTTAAAATCAATTTTTTTTCCTCGTGCATACTTGATTGTAGAGAACAAATTATGTACAAATCTAACATTAATTGCATATGAAAGGCGTGAATGTTGACAATATAATTTATTCGTCCCTTATTGCTCTGTTTGGCCTATGCCTTGCTACCATTTGAATATATAATGACATTTCTCGTGAATATCGGCTTTGTCTTTGATAATGCCCATTTCATAATGATTTATTTTGTTCCAAAATGCTGCTACTGAAAAGCTAGGGTTCTAGTGCCCCCTTGAAGCAAGAATGCATTGGACGGGGAAGGTAGTCTGTGTGAGAAAGAAGAGCCACAGGATAGGCTGTCCGCCGGATTCTGTGAATCTTGCAATGAGTATAATATAATTACGAGGATAAAATTCAGAAACAAAGCCAAACGGTAACGAGAATCCATTGGCATAAGATAAATTTCCCAAAATAAATTAAATTGAACTAATATTTTGCCCCGGCTACAGGGCTTCATCAGAGTAAATGGAACGAACGAGTGAATAAATTTGAAATATGAGCTGGTGGTACCGGATTTACTATTATATATTATCATTATTATCTATTTATTTGAAGTAGGCGTATAAAAATAGCTACAAAATAAGAGATAATTCAAGCCTACTACAAACTAAAACTGTTTAAGATCCAACTTCAAAAACACCCAAAAAGGTAGGTAATTAGACAAGCTCATTAAGAAGAGGTGGAGACCCCACTTAAAAAACGCCCCAAAGGATACTTAATTTGACAAAGTGAATAAGAAGAGGTGCAGAACCCACTTCAAAAACTCCCCAAAAGCTACATTTTTGACATGTTTAATAAGGTAAGGTGCTTCCCCACTTCAAAAACACCGCGAAAGCTATGTATTTTGACAAGCTGAATGAGAAGAGGGGCAGACCTGAGGTTGAGTCCATACCTCTTTTTATCCAGCTTGTCATCTTACGTCGCTTTTGGGGTGTTTTTGAAGTGGGGTCCGCACCTCTTCATATTCAGCTTGTCATGTTACGTAGCTTTAGGGGTGTTTTTGAAGTGGGGTCCACACCTCTTCATATTCAGCTT